CGCTCGTGGTCGACCCAGAGTTCGTCCGCCGTGTTCCAACCCGCGAGTCACATCAGACTCTCGCGGACTCGCCCCGTCACCGGTCGATTCCTGATCGATCAATTAACCCGAGGCGAAGATCCCGATATCCATTTGAACTTGATATTCAATTCTAGACGCACTCTGAATTAGATTAGCTCGTTGGCAAGATCCCTATTCTTGCATCAGTACAATGTTTAGATTGATTCAGATTTCATTATCCCATAACGGACTGTCGTCGTTACCGCCGAATAATTATTCGTTACAAATACGACGATCAGTCGGTGAACATATTGGATTGAGAACTATAGGTGTATAGAAACTGTTGGTGAGCTGAAATAGACTGTGGACAATAACGTCATGACCATTCACATTATCAATACCATATACGTGCGATGGCTGTACGGATTTATTTGGCGGAATGATATTAAAAATAATAATCTGGATAATAGATACTGTAAAGATAAAATAAAATAAAATTATTTTAGATTAGTTTATGATTTTTTTAGGATTTATTTGACAAAATAATCATTTTAAAATAATTATAATAAATTATTTTGGTGAAAAATCATTTTAGAGTAATTATAATAAAACAATAGAATTTATTTGACAAAAGAATTATTTTAGAATAATTATAGTTTAAAAGAATTTATTTTAGATTAAGTATCAATTTAGAATAATTTCAGTAATTCAAGAAAGTTTTATAAAAAGAATTGTTTTAGAACATTTATAAATATTTTTAAAAGATTTACTTTAGAAAAGGGATTATTATGAATGATTTATGTTTCTTAATTTTAATTATGTGATATGCTATGATATTGTTGAATATGATTAGTTGCAGTTATTACTCTTTGTTACGTTTGAGAACCGTTAGAAATGCATGACTAGTGTGGTCTGGTGTGTCCTGTTTAAGACTTAGAAACATGTGTGTATGTTGACCTTGATAAACAAAAGAGTTAGGATGGAGAAAGTCATGGTTCATGGGATCGGATACGACTGTTGATGTATCTTTCAGACTAGAACCAGTGAACCGTTTCGCACTGGGGTGGGTCTGAGGAGCAATGATCGGATATGTATTGTTTATTTCCAGGCTCGCACCAGTGAATCGTTTCGCACTTGGGTGGGTCTGAGGTGATGTGATATTGTGATTGTTGATTATTTCTAGCCTCGCACCAGTGAATCGTTTCGCACTGGGGTGGGTCTGAGGAGCGGTGATATTGTGATTATTGATTATTTCCAGGTACGCACCAGTGAATCGTTTTGCACTGGGGCGGGTCTGAGGTACTAGTGAGATGTGGTTAACCGGATATCCAATAATATGAACTTTGACTCTGTGTGAGATGTGAACCAGTGACCTGTATAGGATTGCTAGTTGCATGACTCGTTTCTTGGCTAATTATGAGTTCTTCTGAGACATAGGCTAGTTGTGTTTCTTTTCATACATAGATCGGGATTAATATTTAATTATTTACAATTCGAGACATATGGTATATACATGAGGGTTTCCTTGTTTGGATTATTTCGCTCGACGTACTACGTCTCGAGTTGTAGATTTTTAAGTATTAATTCTATCTATTGTGTGATCTTGTTGCTTGGATGATTAGTCTGATCGCTAGTTGCATGACCTCGTTACCTGATCGATTTTGGATGCTTTATGTTATCATGATTTAGTAGTGTTTTCATGTTGATTTGTGGATTTCAGTTGTACGTTCTTTCGTTGTTTCTGTTATCGTATCGTTTTTCGCATTAGATTTCCGTTCGTTCTATTCTTCCTTTTGGGATCTTGCCGTGCGCCATGCACCTGACGTACGCCTATTTTTTCTGGTGTACGTCAGACTTAGAAGAAGAACAGGTTCAGCTTGGAGATGCGCCAGAGCCGAGTATTCTCAGCAGGAGTGTCTTGTAGACGAAGCAGAAGAAGAGTTGAAGCTCAGTTATTCCTTTCAGTTTATTTTCATAGCATTTCCTTTTCCGCCTGATCATTGTATTTTATATTCTCCAGTATTTCATTCAGATAGTTTGTATAAGGGCATGTTTAGCCCGAATATTATGTCTGGATGATCATTTCAGTTGTGATATGTATCTTTTGGTTCTGAGTTGTTTATTATATTCTCATTACTGTGATCGAGGACCTGTGCCTTCGTTTGTATTTCTTGACGCTTAGCGAATTAGATTGAGAAGACGGAGTCTAGCACTTATCTCTTCTCAGTTTAATACGTCACGGGCTTGCTCACGTCCCGATTCTCTGGTATTTTGGGAAGCGGGGCGTGACATCTGTAGGCTGTCTAAAAATCACAATAGATAGCTGATTCCCCATCCAACACCGATGATGGAAGTTACAATCTGACGACTTCCAAAAGGCTATAATTTGAAAACTTTCACGTAGATCAATGAAGGTTACAATCTGACGACTTTCACAACAACTGATGAAAGCTCTAATCAACAACCTTCACAATCAACATCAGGAGTTACAATCTGACGACTCTCACATATCAAAGAGCTAAAGCAAATATTACAAAACGATGATCTTTGCAACGCTCTGACAGAAAGAGACTACAAATCAACGGTCTCTTTAAACCAAGACGCGGAAGTCCTCCCCGCGTACCAGCATCAAGACACAGTATTTTTAGCCGTTGACGCAACTCAAGCTCGGCCACTAACGCAGCGCAAACGCAGCTCTAAACGCTACAAATGCAGCTCAGATCCAGCTACCAATGCAGCTCATGTTCGGCTGTAAACGCAACCTCCAAAAGCTGCCAACGCAGCTTCCATCCGCTGCCAAACGCAGCTCTTAAATGCTGCTAAACTACCGCCAACGCAGCTTCCAAATCACTGCAAACGCAGCTCAGACGCAGCTTCCAAATCGTTGCAAACACAGCTTCCAGAAACTACGTCCGAGCTTCCAGACGCTGCGTTCGATCTTCCAGATACTGCGTTTGAACACAGTATTCACGCCAGAACACGGATTTTGCGTTTGACTCGTTCAAACACGGGCTGAACAGTTTCAAAACCGTTTCTCACGATCTGAGGGGATCACAACTCCACTCAGGAGTGATTTAAGAGGCGTTTACATCCCATTAGCCCCACTTAGGAGCGAATTAAGAGGGCAGTTACACCCTTTAATCCCATATAAATAACTAAGAAATCAGCTTAGTTCGGGGGTTGGATTTTGGAGGCTGGATCTTTCATCCTTCTTTTTGACAGCAAAGAAGAGATCTTTGGGGGGAATTGCTGGAGCTTTGGAGATCAGCAACAGGAGCTTTCTTCATCCTTGGCTTATAGACCGATTTCGGTTAAATCAACTTTTTCATAGAGTTTCAAACTCGTTCAGAGTTCTCCACAACGTCAAATCGTGAGGAGGAGATATCGTTCCAATGAATCAAGACATTCGGATCGTCAACGGAGAGCAAACTCGAGCGAGCATTTGAGGGAGGCACTCCATCGCCACCGTGAAGAACCCAGAATTAAACAAAGGGGAGGATTTGCATCAATTCTCTTCTCTTTTGTAATCAGGAAATCCAATTATAACTGAGATTAAAGGAATACAAATCAATTTTCCTTTATTTCTTTTACTGCAAAATTTTCCACAAACAAAAGATGGCGACTCCGCTGGGGACTAGCTTCTCTGACGAAGAAGTGGTGGTGCAATCCGATGTTCATCTCACTGGAACGACGGTTGAAACTCTCGTCGTAGAGTTCGATCAAGCCAAGTATGAGGAAGCCCTCTCCTCCGGATCCTTTAGCCCCAAGGCTATGCGCAAGATCCATAAAGTCTCCAAAGAGACTAAAGGTCTAACTGCTCCAATTGTAGCCAAATCACCCAAGGAGGCCCTCCCCTTTGATCAAGATTGCTCGAACAGCCCCTCCTCTGAAGGAGTGGACTCAGCTTCTGCTAAACGAGTTGAAAGTTCTATACCCACGTCTTCGCAGCGGGTATTGGGTCATAAAAGGCCCATTGTAGCGATGAATTCCATCAACGCCAACAACCTAGCTGCAAAGGCCTTGAAAAAGGCCAAGAAGAACGTCGCTCGACAAAGGAGGAGATCCCTACGACGAGCACATCTCCGTGAATGTCGATCTTCAAGTTAACACGAGCTTCGTGTTTGTGAGCCTAAACACGACCAGGTGCTCTACGTTTCTGCTTCAGAACGCAAGCCTCGCGTCTATGAGCCTAAACATAGGCTCTGTGTGAATAAGACTGAATGCAGCCCTTGGTGGTGCATTGTACAGTCAAAACACAGCCTTTAGGAGTGCGTTCTATTAACTGAACGCAACTCTCAGGCATGCGTTTCAGAACCAAAAAGCAAATCTCAGGCATGCGTTTGGGGAACGAAATCCAGTACAGAACCGGAGTTCAAAACGAAATCTTCGTTAAGCTTTTTGAGAAAAGACAGATGAAAAGTCGGATGACTTTTGATTTAACCCAGCGGTCTATTTATAGACAGCTATGAGCTGTCAAATCAGGGCGAGATTCTAGGCCCAGAATCCCGCCAAACGTGGCCTGTGCGTCTACGTTGGTTGAGCTTCTGAACACAGAACTCAACTCTGCGTTCCAATTCCTTGACAATCCACCTATGCGTCTGCGTTGGTTGAGCTTCTGAACGCAAAGCTTAACTCTGCGTTCCAATTCTTTGGCAGTCCACCTGTGTATTTTAATGCAACCAAATGAATTTCTCGATGCTGGAAGCCAAGACATAGCCTCGAATAAATAGAGGAAGTAGATGTGGCCACCAAGGTGACCAAAACCGAGAAGAAACAGACGACTCCGCTGGGGAGTCTGTTGGATGAATACAAACAGATTACAATCGGCAATGGTAAAACGGTCAAATGTGATTCTGCGCACAACTCATTCTTCTAAATGGCTTAACATCCTAACGAAGATTAATGAAGCCACGAGATGCACACAACTCATTCTTCTAAATCGCTTAACGTTCCCACCAAGATTAATGAAGACAGGAGTTACGCGTAATTCATTCTTCTAAATGGCTCAACATCCCAAGATTCCCAACAAAGAGTAAGTTGAGCTGATCAAGAAAGGAAATAAAGTAAAATCCTCTGAGGCTATCCTCCTAACTAAATTTAGGATAAAGCCCTTCTCATGTGGGCTTGCGATTCTCTCTGTCTATGACGATGGATCTGTCTTAAGCCCAGAGGTGCTCAACCTCACGGAGGATGACCTCGTTGACAAGTTTGCAGCTGGTGTTTCTATGGTTGCTTCGCTATCCGTCGCTCTCTCTTACCCAACTCTTGCAGCGGCGCTTCACATGTTCATCAATACCTACAAGAACGTCCTTGCTGTTGCTGTCTTCTCTATTGCATCTGTCAAGAAGGCTGTTGCTCTTGCCTCTAAGGAAGAAAGGACGAGCCTGTCGGCGAGTCTAACGATGACTTGGGATTTAGTTGTTTGACTAAGTTTATTATCATCAAAATTCAAAAGTTATCTTGTTTGGTTCGAGGAAACAGAATTTCAGCGTTCCAACAACCAAGTTCACAATGTTTTCAAATCAGACGTAGTGAATAACCAACCAACTAAAATTTTGGGATCCAAAGTATTCCGAAAATTTGTCCCAGTCAACCACGAACTTTCGAAAACTTTGGAGAGAGTTCTGTAGGCTGTCTAAAAATCACAATAGATAGCTGATCCCCATCAAGCTTCAACAAACAAAAGCTACAAATAGAGGACTTTTCACATAGATCAAGAAGAGTTACAAATCAACGACACTTCTGACAGCTGATGAAAACTCTAAGAAGAGTTACAAATCAACGACACTTCTGACAGCTGATGAAAACTCTATTCAGTAGCCTTCATAACCAATTGTGATAGTTACAATCTGACGACTTTCACACCCCATAACAAGCAAAGATCAATGAGCTGTAACCTTTGCGATATTGTAATGGATGAGGTTACAAGCCAACAACCTCTCCCAAACGCAAAGTCCACCCCTGCGTTTCCCAAACTCAAAACGCATACGAACTGTGCGTTCTCCAATAGACATTCAGCTCTGCAACGCAGAGTTAAAATTCAAAACGCATACGAACTGTGCGTTCTCCAACAGACATTCAGCTCTGCAACGTAGAGTTAAAACTCAAAACGCATACGAACTGTGCGTTCTCCAACGGACATTAAACTCTGCAACACAGAGTTAAAACACAAAACGCATAGACTGTGCGTTCTTCAGCAAACACTCAACCCTGCGTCTCAAACTCAAGACGCAGAGCTGAGATTCAGCACACAAGCGGCCTGTGTGCATGCGGCCTGTGCGTTTCAAATCTCTAACAGAGATTTAACTCTGCGTCTCAAGCCTTAGGCGCAGAGTTAAGGCCCAGAATGCCAAGTTAGGCATTTGACTTGTTCAAACACAAGTTGAACGGCCTAACAACCATTTATCCCACGTTCTGAGGGATTCTCGCCCACTTAGGAGCGGATTTAGGGGTTGGTTACACCCCTTATCCCCCTATAAATAACTGCATTACTTAACTGAGTAGAGGGTGGATCGGTTTTAGCATCTAAACCGCATCGTGTTGGAGATTTGGAAATCAAAACCACCTGAAGTTGGGCTAAGAGGGGGAGTTTTCTGAAGATCAAGGAACTGCTCGGCAGTTAGTAAATCAAATCTTGGAGAATTCTTCACCAACAACAAATCTACTTTGCTATTAACCGAGCTTTCGGTTCTAACAACTCTGTTACAGAGTTTCAACTCGCTCTGAGTTCTTAAACTCGTTAAGAGTTCTTAATTAAACTTGCAATGCAAGCTAATTACACTAATCGATTATTTGGTTTTCAACAACTCTTTTCAGAGTTTTCAACTCGTTCTGAGTTTCTTAAACTTGTTAAGAGTTCTAAACCGGATTCATCATACAAGTCAATCGTTCTCGTGAGATAATACGGTCAGATCGTCAACGGAGAGCAAGTTCGACGCAAGCAATCGAAGGAGGCACTCCATCGCTACCAAGAAGAACCCAGAATTAAACAAAGGGGAGAATCAAATTCATTCTCCTCTCTTTTGTAATCGGAATCCAAATTATAATCGATTTTGAGAGAATACAAATCAATTTTTCTTTCATTTCTTTTACATCGAATTTTTTCACAAACAAAAGATGGCGACTCTGCTGGGGACTAGCTTCTCTGACGAAGAAGTGGTGGCGCAATCCGATGTTCATCTCATTGGAACGACCGTCGAAACTCTCATTGTAGAATTTGACCAAGCCAAGTACGAGGAGGCCCTCTCCTCTGGGTCGTTTAGCCCTAAAGCTAGGCGCGATACCCGCAAGATCTCTAAGGAGGTCGTAACTACTGCTGAGACACCAAAGAAAACCTTCTCCTTTGGCCAAAACCTTAGACTCACTCTACAAGTTGAAGATTCCACACCCGTCTCAACATGGCGTGTAATAGGTTGTAAGAGGCCTATGACGGAGGAAAATCCAATCAACGCCTACGACGTCGCGGCCAAGGCTCTGAAACAAGCCAAGAAGAACGCCGCTCGAAGACGGAGAAGATCCATCCGACGATCGCATCTTTGAGAAAACTGATCCCTGGTTCAATGCAAAGATTGGGTTTTTGAAGCTCCGCCCAAAGATTCCGTTCCTGCTCCAAAATGCATACTTCGTGGCAATGAGCCTAACTATGAGCCTCGAGTGATACAACTTAAACGCGATCCTCAGTGGTGCATTGTCCATCCAAAACACAATACTGCTAAGGATAAACACGCACCTCATGAGTACGTCCAACTAAAACAGGACCCTAAGGGGTCTGTTTCATCAAATAGATGCAGGCCAAAGCCTGGTGTTTATAGATCACAACGCGATCCTCGTGTTTCGACTCCAGAACACGATGTGGTTCGCCAAGTTCAAGAGATTCAACATGGGCTTAAGATTCATGTCCAACAAGAACCAATCCCGCCTACTCAAGGACAGGGGGTCTTATTTCCAATGAAGAATTACTCTCAAGTCTCTGACTTGTGAGAATTACTCTCTAAAGGGAAACCAACGCAACAGGCAACTCATTCATGCCATTGTGAACGGCTTATTTCAGCAGTCCTTTCCGAATGCCACTGTTGTACACCTGAACCCCGACAATTTGTGTTCGACAGACTGGTGGACGTCGCAAGACCTACCAAAAGACGACGTCGTCAGAAGAAGAAGGTTTCTGAAGCCGAATATCCTCAGGTCACCATCAATATGACCGGCAGAGGGAAAGCCCCGCATCCTAGTTTTGATGAATCTGAAAGCAGCCATTCCCCAACTGTCCGAGAAATTTACGATGAGTTCGAAGGAGTATATCGACATACTCGGACGCGGACAGGAGCTATCCGCTCAGTGGACTATCGAAAGTTGGCCAAAGGAATTACTTCCGATGATGAACATTCGGTAATCGTTGAATCTCAATCTTCAAGCTCCATCGTGGCACGAGAGGTTTCCATTTATATGACTGGAAGCCCCGAAGATTTAGCTAAAAGAGTTGACGAACACCACGTTATGCTCCATGCACAACAGGAGACACTTCTCCAAATGAAGGATATGTTGGCCCAGCTCCTCGCCGAAAAAGGCCAAAAACCTGAATCTTCCCAGAGGACAACCTCCAAAGGAAAGCAGAAAATGCTTGAGAATTTGGAACATGAGACTCACAATTTGGAGTCTTCTTCCAAAAACGAGAAGGAGATGGAGAGAGAACAGAATCCTCAGTCAACTAAAGTGGATGAGCTAGAAGCCCGCCTTAACGCAATAGCTAATAGAAGCGAGCTTCGTGAGGAAGGAGTGATACGGCCTTATCCCGCGAAATAGGATACAGCTCCCTATCTGCCGAAGTTTAAGGCCCCAACTCTACAACCTTTCGATCGTACAGGGTCACAAAATCAACACATCTACTACGTCAAGTCACAGACTGGAGATGTGGTAGCTAACGATGCCATCTTAACCCGTTTGTTCATCGGTACTCTTAAAGGAGTTGCCTTTGAATGGTTTATGAAACTACCTGCTAGATCTATTCAGAAATGGGTAGATCTGGAAAGACTTTTCTTAGCCAGATTCTTCGAAGATGACACGGAAGTTTCGGTCCCGACTCTTCTCGCCACCAAGCAAAAGAAATGAGAGTCCATCAAGACGTATGTGGAAAGATTACGCAGCATGGCATTGTGATGCCCGTCAGGTATGACCCAATCAACCCTAGTTGAAACTTGCAGGCACAACTTGGAGACCCAGCTCCTCGCTCAGATGGGAGTGGCAGAATGTCGCTCCTGGAGACAATTAGTTTCGCAAGGAGAGCAAGGTGAAGAGATTGTCGCTCGGGTCAAGGCTGAAGAAGTTATACAACCCAAGCCACAACAGCAACGCAACCAGAACAATGCGCCGCGCTCCAAGGGAAAAGAGACGTTAGCTGCCGATACTGACGCACGCACACCATCTGGGAAGCAAGGCAAAGTACCAAACTAACAAAGAGCGCCTAAGCAGTACTCGTTCAAAGAAGAGCATGTGGACACTCTGTTCCAACTACTTCAGAAGAATAATAAATTGCAGCTCCCCGAAATCAGAAAACCAGATGAAGCTGGGAAGGTAGATGACCCCAACTACTGTCGCTATCATAGATTTTTGGGACATCCTACTAGGAAATGTTATGTGTTCAAAGACATCTTGCAAAATTTGGTGAATGCTAACGTACTTACCCTGAAGCCAGAGCAGAAGACTGTATCCACTAACTTGATTGCAGTCCAGTTCGGTGACTTCCTCCCTGTAGCTGCTATAGATGGTGTTATTCCTATCCATAAAGGGGAAATATACTTGAAAAACACCGACTTACACAATCAGAAGGACAGGGGGTTGGTACCGCTCACTATCCTAAAAGGAGAGATCATGTGGGTCCATCCCGACCTAATTGAAGATCAGCAGTGGACAAACACCTCTCCCAAGCAGAAAAGAAGCAAGGCTAATTCATCCAACATGATTAGCCCCTCTGTTAATGAGAATAACAACCATCTCAAACCTCTCACTGACTCAGAAGAAGAGAGGATCGTCCTGACGGCATACCCAGAAGGTAACCCTGGTACTCGGTCAGGAAAAGCTTACTTGAGAAACTATGACCAGAATGCTCAAGAAGCTGAAGAACGGCCCCAAGACGCTGGGGGTTCTGTACCAAACAAGTCGATCGATAAAGGGAAACAAAAAGAGCTTCGGTTCAACAAAAATCTTCACCAGGATCTTGGAGAAATGAGCGCCCCCTTCCAATTTAATGTAATGGCGCAGCTGGCCAATATACCTGCTAGAATTACCCTATATGAGATCTTGAGATTGTCCAAAGCCACCAAAGAAGCTCTGATTGAAGCTTTGAAGAACACAGAGAGCTTTATCACTCAAGTCACTCCAATTCCTGAAACACCTGAAGATCAGTCCTGCCTGCAATGCTTACAAGCAGCAA